TCCTACTGGCGATAGCCCAGTGATGGCCGCTATGTCGAAGAAGGTTGGGGTGATCATTCCACCTGGGAGATGGAAAGTGTTATAGGTACTGTCCCAGAAATAGAGGGATGTGAATAGCAGAGGGTGGCTGTAGGTGAAACCAGGCTTCGATAGCTTAATCAGGTTATAGATACCTAATTCTTCCCATTGCTGGGATTTCTTAGCTTCTACTTTCTTGAACCAATTTTGATAAGCAGTATCAGAGGTGGGACAAGATCGAAATGGCTTAAAATTACTTTTTACATAATCCAATACAAAGGGGTCCTTAGGAGGAACAATTGGGTTTTCTATGGTATTTGAACTAGAAGATTCTATTGCCTTAGGGGCGTCCATTTTGTTAAACAAGGGTTTAAAACTATAACAAACTGGGAAAATTGTCCTGGTGTCTTTTAATATTTCAAAAACCGTAAGAGGGCCATTTAAAGCTAACCTCTTACCAGCAACGGTGGTAGGAATGAGTACCTGTGACGCATACAACATTTCTTTTTCCTTTGAAATCATCTGAGGGGCAAGAACGGATTGACCTTGGTGAGTGATAATCTTACTTTCCATGGTAGTTCCTGCAGTTTTTCCTTTCTTCTTGGAGACTTTCTTGAGTTGGGATGAAGTAGAAGAAGACATTTTTGAAAGATGTTGAAAGCTTGGGTTTTTTGACGAGAGAAGGAGGGTAAAAGATTTAGAGTGTGAAAAGAAAAGAAAAAGATTAAGTTGGTGATGTTTTATAATGGGGAAGTTTAAGCATCCACTGAATAAGGGTGTGATACGTGGAAATCATGGGTTGGTGTGATGAAGAGGTGGCGTAAAGTTAACATGGGTAATAGGCGTAATTTAAAGATAATCATTGTTTGTAACTGCACCATACTATGAAGTGGCTCCAGGCGGTTAAGGAATCCAAAAAGTGCTATGATTGACGTGACTGGAGTCAAATGCATTAAATGTTACGATGATTCGAAGGTCACATCAAAATCTTGTGTAGATGTTTAAAATAGGTATTTCTCAGAGAAATCGAAATACATATTTTAAAGGGGAAATTTGTTGGCTGAAGATTTTGATAATATTATTAGAAGCCAAATGAACTAAACGTTTCGATCGAAATGAAGCAAAGCGTCATGTTTCGAAGTAGCAGAAGCAGTGTTTCGAATAAGCATGTCAAAGCTGGAGCTTCGAGTGGCAATTATGGGAACATATCTAAAGAAGTCTCGAAATAACAACAAGGCTGTGTCTGGGAAGTGCGTTCGAAACGGAGAAGTACCAAAGCATTTGAAATTCAAATGGAAGCGGGACATTCGAAGTTTGAAATTTATGTGCTGGAGCATTTGGAGACACGTGGAAAGAAGAAAGAGGCATTGTTCTGCATGTTCTGAACGTGGCATAATCCTATAGCAAGACCGTTATGGTCGAATTAGTATAAATATAAGTCTTAGTATTAGGATTTCGTGTGTCATATCTATTGTACTAAATACTCAGTAACATTCAAACTACCACATGGCAAGGGAAACGAATGCAAGAGCAATGTACGTATGATAGCACCATATATTTATGATTTAATGAAAACCTTTTACCATTTCCAGCACTTTTCTTTATCTTTCTGTCAAATAACATTTATAAGTTTTCTCATTTACAGTCTTTTCACTTCGAAATCTCTTCATTAAAGTTTTACATTTCAATGCTTTCTTCACTTTTCAAGCACTTTACATTTCAGAAAACTGTCATACTTTCCATGCCTTTACCTTCAAGCTTTATCCTTCGAACGCCTATTTTTACTTAAAGTCATTTACAGATTTCTTGCATTAAACGCTTTCTTCATATTTCAAACCTTTTACGTTCCAGAACATCCTTTACATTAACTGTTTTTATAATTCGAAACCATTTACTTGCCTTTTATGCAATTTTACATGTCTTTACGATTAACATTTATTCATGCAACTTAGTTTCGTACACGCACATTTTGATTACATCTTTAGACCCTTAAGAGAGAAATCGAAATAAGCCAAACACCTATACAACACTCAAATATCAACCATGAATATCTGTTCGATCATGAGAGTTACCCTAATGTCCAAGGAATCCTAGGATCAATCTAGTCGATCCTGTGAGTTACCAGAGGAATTGAATAACAGTCAGAAAGATTATTCGATAGTTTGGAAGACTAGCGGTCGTTTACCAGAAATCACTGGAAACAACACCTGACTTCAACAATTGGGCTATAGGCTGTCATACTTTGTGGACATGGAGAAACAAGGAGATGCATGTGCAAGACTTTGAGATACCTCCTCATGCTGAGAGAATCATAGATGGAAGGGTTAAGGAGTATATGGAGAAGAAGATGGAGAATGTTCACTAGTGTCGTCCTCAAATTAGTTTTGTCAAGCTGAATGCCGATGGCGCTCGAGATAAGCATGAGTTGTTTGGGTGTGGTGGGATTATTATAGACGCTACATGAAACTTGATTGTTGGGTTTGCGAAGTTTGTTGGGCGTGGGAATGCTTTGATTGCTGAGTTGTGGGGAATTTATGTAGGCATCAATTTGACTTTGCAACAGAGTTATAAGATGGTGGAAGTTAATACAGATTCAAAATAAGTTGTGGATATTATTAGTCGTGTTGGCCGGAAGCGACAAGGTAGCTCCAGTTTAGCTCTTCAAATTCATGACTTAATGTCCAAATTTAATAATTACGATTTGGTTCATATCTTTCGAGAAGTTGTGCCGATGTGTTAGCTAGAGTTGATATAAGTTTACAAGAAAGTCTTAAGGAGTTTTATTGTATTCCTCCTTTTTTATTGAATAGCTTTAAGGATGATTTTAGAGAGATATCTTCCTCTAAAATCATTGCTTTGTAGTTTTTTCTTACCCTCACTATCATTAAAAAAAATCAAAACGAAATAGAGAAAGTTTTAAACTTTAATTTAAAATTAAAACTATTTTGATTAAAAAATAGGGAAAATTTCACCACTTATTCACTAGTAAAACGCACGCTGAAAGGTTAGAACCCTAGACACGGTACAGCACACAGAGCCTCCGTCTCCGTCCACCGCCATCCGCCGCACCACCACCGCCCACTGGATTTTACGATCATATGGCTCTGCGAGGAGTTTGGCAACTGAAGAAGCTTGTTGTTAGCTACAGCGATTGGGGTGGAAGTAGCAAAGGTATACGGTATATACACACAACAATCACTTTACCTTCTTAAATTTTTCATTTCATCGATTTGTGCTTTCAGGAACCATCATGTTTTTATTTTTCTTTGATTTGTGGAATTATTAAGAAAATGATTGATTTTTTCTTGCTTTTATTCAAATTTTGATTTATGTCCAATTTCAAATCATGTTCATGTATAAGTAATAAGGTTTCCGCATTATAGTAAGAATGAATTCAATATGAATTATTGTAAAAAATTTAGTTTCTGCATTTTTTGATTTACTCGGTGCTTGTTTTTTATTCTATAAATCTAGGTGGTATGCTATTATAGTTTAACAACTGATTCATATTGAGTTTAAGTTTCAACCTATTCTCTTTGGACTGAAAAGTTATATGAATTGCAAAATTAGTTTTTTTCTTGCTTTTACTGATTTCTTGATTTTTTTTCCCTTCATGCTTTATAGTTTTTAAGAACAATGCTCAGAACCTAGGACACCCACGCTGACACGGACACTGGAACACGACATAGACACGGGAACACGACACACACACTCCGAGCTTTATGACATTTGTAGTTTGTCTGACATTTCCAACTAGTGACTTACGGGTGTCATTCAAGTGTTGGACACTGACACATGTGTAAAACGCCTTGTTTTAGAGATGTTTGTGCTTCATAGCTCAGCTTTGTATATGTCATTTGTTTTTCCTTTTGCCTCATTGGCTGCGACTTCAGGTCACCTCAAATAAAAACCTTTTAACAAAGAAAGTTTGAGATAAGGTTTAAATTTACTCTATGTTTTGATAATCACAATGCATCTTCTGCTTGCATTTTACTTAGTACTAAAGGCGTGGAGTATGCTATGAATAATCTTTTTTCATATTCAATGTCTTGCTTTGTACATGGAATTCTTACTTTTAGTTTACAATATATGATAGGGCATTTATGGAGTCAAATCCTCAGTTAGAGGTGGCCACTGAAATGATTCGTGGTCAGCATCCACATCTGAAGGCTTTTTACAGTAAGATTCCCGGGCTCACTCGTAACTTTGTCGTTAAGTTTTTTCTTTTGGTAATTGTAACCAATGATTCTCTTGTGCAAAGCAGAGAACCATAACGATCGAGTGGTGTGTGTGAAGAATATGGACCCGGAAGAGATACTTCTGCATGCTACCAGGCTGAGGAATGCACTGGGAAGGAAAGTAATAAAACTCAGGACAAGGCATGTAACCAAACACCCTAGTGTGCAAGGTACATGGTCAACTGCTTTGAAATTATAGGATGAATAAAACCAGGTGTTTGAGAAAGTTATCCTAGTCGTGCAAAGTCAATCCTTTTCTTTGATCAATTTATCAAGTGTTTGTGATCTGGTTAGCATAATTTCGCATGTTGTCTGGTGCAATTACCAAGATTTCAATTGTTCAGATCAGACACATTTTTCTTTATTGGTTTGGTTTAAAACCTTCTGTTAGTTAAACGTCTTAAACGACATATCTTAGCCTTTTAAGTGTCTTACTGAACAACTATCAACTTATTATGGTATGGCTAAGGCGCTGAACTTGTTTACATTGTTATACATTGCTAGTTTGTAATAATATCCATCAGATTCATCAGAGTTCTGAAATTCTTATGCTTTCTTACTCTTTCTATCTCGAAACAAGAAAACATTGTTTTGTTTTGGTACAAGACTCAAATTTCAAATAGTTGTTTTAGATTGTAAGCAGGGGCGGATCCAGACTTTATATATTGGTGTGGCTAAACATAAAAGAAATTATCGACTAAAATATATTGAAAATAAAAAATAATATTGTTTGATGAAGTGTATTTACAATGAAAACCGTCTAGTATCAATTTCTTGAAAATGAGCTAAAATAACATCATTGTTAATTGTTCCAAGAACATCTCTTTCTATAAAAGTTACAAGACGATCATTTAACCATTGATCACCCATTTTCTTACATAGCTGACTCTTCACAAACTTCATAGCTGAAAAAACACGTTCCACGCTCGCAGGTGCTACTGGCAAGACTAAAGCCAACGTCAGAAGCTTATAAACTATATCAAAAGTGTTGCATTTTTTTGTTTCCACAAGTTTTGCACAAAGATCTGAAAGTCCGTTTAAATTTGCAAATTTTGGATCACATCGAACATTTCTAACATAATTCTGAAGCTGATGTCGTACCGCCACTTCCGGCACATCTACAAAATCATTTGGATAAAGTTCAACCATCCTCAATAATTTTTTCACATCAAAAGATTCAAATGATGATGAGGGTGTTGGCTCCTAAATTCGACACCTTTGTTTTGATTGATGACAGCCATTAAAAGCTGAAAGATGCTTTCGACTGGCTAAGCTTGTCGAAGTACCCGTCGAAAGATGGAAAAATAACTTAGAAGATTTCTTCCAAGGAGGAAGGCTCATTGCCTTCGACGTCGAAAGAGTTTTCGTCGAAGACGTCTCTTGACGAACGTGTTCGATGGTCCAGAGTGGAGCAGTTTGAAATTCAAAGCTTTGGAGGGAAAACGGTTTCCAGCAGTTACTACGTGCGAACGTGCAAGGATCTGGAGCGTCGAGCATGGAGAACGTGACAAGTGGCTTGATCTCGAAGCAGTGTAACTGCCCGACGGTTACTTGGAATGTTTTTGTATAAATAGGAGTAGACGTGTAGTTTCTCGCGTGTGTTCACAATAAATACATAGTCACTCATTTAGATTCAAGTACCCAGTGTGAGCGAACGAATTGTTGAGAAATGTATGTGTGAAACACCAATTTAATCAATTCAAGTCATTTACTTTTCCAGTATTTTACATGCTTTTTCCCTTTAAGATTCCTGTCGAACCTTTACATTCAAGCCTTGTTTATTTTACCAAGCCTTTCCTTTATGCAATTTACTTTAAACAATTTACTCAAAGCCTTATCCACATTAATTAAACTTCAAAATCAACCTATGTCCATAGGATCAATCTGATCGATCCTGCGAGTAACCAAATAAGTAACCATTTGTAGGATCAGCGGTTGTTTACCAAATCCCAAGGTAAACAAATTGGCACACCCGGTGGGACTGTGTGTTGATTGATTGAAAAATAATCTCATCTTTTCGAGTTGTATGTTATTGAGGAGTGGTAGAATATACACCAACGATAATAATACTGCCAGGAGAAGGGAAGAGATGGCGAATCCGCCAAACAACAATGAAATCCCACAAACGAGTGCGGGAGCAACGGTTAATATGACCGTGAGTGAAGCGACGAATGCTGGTTCGATACCAGCAGTGTCAGTCACAACCACGGGGCCAACAACTTCGTTTGCAGGCCCCAGAATGACTTTGGGAACCCCCCCTCCAAGGGGAAATACTGGCCCAAGGCCAGTGGTTCCCCCAGGATTTATTCCATTCTATGGTATGCCAACTTCTGAATTGGCAAGCCTGACGAATGCTGCGTCCACTTATTCAGACCCTTTCGTGAGTGCCACTTCGCCACTCCAAGGCTCTGGAGTAGGCATGGCGAATAGAAATAGGACCCAACTCTTAGGAGGAACGTCCCAAGTAGCCCATGGCCTTACAAATGCCTCGACAGCAGTCTTGAGGCAACAGATGGACGAAAGCAACCATGATATGGTGCAAATGTTGGCACAAACTTTGAGTACAGTGCTAAATCCTCTAATACAAAATACTACTCAATCGAATCAGCAAGTTACTGCGCAAATGACGCGTTTGGCTGACTTCTTTGGAGCACCCCCACCTATTCGACAGCCCCAAAGGGCGCAAATAAGAGGAAATCAGGGGATATTTGTAGAGGAAGAAACCACCATCAATCAGGCTCAACAGCCTGTAGAACAACCTGTCGAAGAACCTAGGGTAATAGCCCCAGAGGTAAGATTAGTTAACAGAAACCAAAATGCTGACGCAGTGGTTCAGCATGTCCAATACCAAAACATGGGTTTGGAAAACAATCTGGCAACCATGATCGAAAGAATCATGACTCAGAATGGAATGAACATGGGCTTTCGAAGGCCCAACTTTACATCTCCATTGTCAGAATATGTGTTACAAACTGACTTACCCCCTAGAACCAAAGTCCCCAAATTTACTAAGTTCTCTGGGGACACGACAGAATCTACTGTCGAACATGTGGCAAGGTATTTGATCGAAGCAGGAGACATTTCAAATAATGAAAACCTAAGGATCAAATACTTCCCAAGTTCCTTAACCAAGAACGCTTTTACTTGGTTCACAACTCTACCCCCCAATTCGATCCACCATTGGACCCAGTTGGAAAGATTGTTCCATGAACAATTCTATATGGGGCAAACTAAGATAAGCCTGAAAGAACTGGCGAGTGTTAAGAGACGTTTCACTGAACCTATAGACGAATATCTGAATAGGTTTAGGTTGCTTAAGGCGAGATGTTTTACACAAGTGCCAGAACATGAGCTGGTCGAAATGGCCGCAGGCGGTTTAGATTATTCCATTAGGAAGAAGCTAGATACCCAGTACCTAAGAGACATGGCCCAACTGGCCGATAGAGTTCGACAAGTCGAACGCCTTAAAGCTGAAAAAGCTAAGGCAACAAAAACTCACAAGAGAGAAAGAATAGCTTACGTTGAGATGGATGACGAGGATCTAGAATCCTTCGACGATACTTTAGCTGTCGAGGAAGGAGAGGTCGATTTAGCAGAACTAAAACAAGGGCCTCCATACTCTTGTAAACAGTTAGTCCCCTCAAATGGGAAAAATCCCGTTGGTCCAGACAAGACCAACGATAGGTTCCCAAAAAAGACTTACAGTTTTGACATCACAAAATGTGATGAAATATTCGACTTGCTAGTTAAAGATGGCCAAATGATAGTACCCCCTGGGGTAAAAGTGCCTCCTCTTGATCAAAGAAAGAAGAGAGGTTTTTGCAAATATCATAATTTTCTGGGCCATAAAACTTCTCAATGTTTTCTTTTCAGGAATCTTGTGCAAGACGCTATTGAGGAAGGGAGATTAAAGTTTGCTGACAAATCCCCCATGGTTGTCGACTCCAATCCACTGAAGGCTGAAGCCCACTATGCTGAACCCTCTGAGGTGAACATGATAGAGGCTACCGGGATCCAGTCGAAGAAGCCAGGCATTACCATGGTCGAAGTCTCTAAGGACCACATCAACATGCCAATCTTTGGCAGTTTTTCTGGAAACTTATCCAGGAAGACAATTGAGGCTGTCCAGAAAGCGGTCGAAGATCCAAGGTCGAAGACTGCTGAAGCACAAACAACTGGACCAAAGCCCAGTTCCCACTTGGCCACTGTTCAAGGCCAGACGGAGAAACTGGAAACACAAATGAAACAACTAACTCTTGCTAATAAGGATACCATGAATATCAACATGGTTGAACTTTCTGACCCTAAAGCATCAGAAGAAGCCATAAGGCAAGAGCAGGCAAATAAAACGGCTTTCCCTAAGGAAAACGAAAACTTGGCAGATTTTTTACAAAGATGCCAGAAGAAGAAATCAGAGGTTATGCTATGTCCAAGATGTAGTTCTATCTTTGATAAAAAGGCTGCTGAGCACATACAAGGAGTGAGAGCAGCGAACAAGAGAAGGGAGAATTCTGACCTTCGACATGATCCCAGAAGGGGTTCTAATCAAGACAAGAGGCCTTTGACTTTTAGGCCTCCAGCAAATGTACCAGTAGACACTTGGTACAAAACATCTGGCCGGAAAAGGCCAAGTGAAGATAAATGGCATTCTTTCGAAGTGCCAAGAGGTTCCTCTTTAATCCAGAAGAAAGATTCTCAAGTTGCTGCACCCAAGGTTGCTCAAGTGTCCAGCAACTACAAGGGAAAAAATCCTATGTCGAGATCCCAATGGAGGAGGTATCAAAGAAGGCGAAAAGCTGAAAGGGAGGCTACCAACGAACCTAAGGCTGAGACTAGTTCGAATGTGCCTCAAAGGAAACAAAGAAAGCCTCTTGAGAGGGAACCAGTTACCAACAGGCTAGTTTGGCCTAACCAGAGCGAGGTCGAAGACGAAGATGATGCTGAGTCCGACGATACTCTGGATATAATGGTGAACGTTGTTTCAATGCTACCCAGGGAATTCAATCGACAAGTAGAAGTCGAAACCAGTGACTGGGAGATGGAACAAGAAATGGCCAGACACAGGCCAGTGTGCTATTTTGTCATGGACAATGGCACTACAGAGGAACAAAATGGCTTCTTCGAGCCACCCACTGAGGCGATGAAGAATCACCTCAAACCTTTGTTCATAAGGGCCAAGCTCGAAGAGACCACTGTGAACAAAATATTGGTCGACTGTGGGGCCACTATCAATATTATCCCTCATTCTGTGCTAATAAAGATTGGCAAAAGGGATGAAGAAATTAAACCTCACAATATGGTCCTTTCCAACTATGAGGGAGGCATTGGGACCACCATGGGAGTGATCCAGCTCGACATAAAAGTTGGGTCGATCCTTCGACCAACAATGTTCATGGTCATATCGGCCAAACCTAACTACAACCTTTTGTTAGGCCGTGAGTGGATACATGGTGTGGGTGCTGTGCCTTCATCGATGCATCAAAGACTGCTTCTATGGCGCCCAGATGGGCTGGTCGAAAACATAGAGGCTGATCAGAGTTACTACCTTGGCGAAGTAAACCACTTGGGTGTAACAGATTTCGACAAAAACTTGGCTCACATAGGGCCATGTCCAGCTCCTGACTTCGACATGGCGCCAGCGCCAAACACCTTTTGTTCCCTATACCTGCATCCTGAGCATGGTTTCCAATGGGACAGAGAAGACGTGTCCCACATAGATTTCAGTGGGCTAACTGGTATCCAGCCAACTGGTTGGGGAAGTGAATTCAGTGATAATGACTGAGTCACAATCTCTGAAGCGAATTTCGGCCTATGTGGCTGAAACCAAGATGATAACGGCTCTCGAAGCCGAAGTAAAGTACATGGCCACACAGGCCAATGATCAACCATTATCTGCTGTTGGCCCAGGAAAGGATTTCGATCCAAGACCCCCTGATATCATGCCAGATGAAATGCAGGAACAGAGGCTCGACGCGATCTATGACGATGAGCCTTTGGGCTTCGAAAAGGATCCCTTGGCGAACAACATTAAGATGTTAGCACAAGACCCTTTAGAAGAAATCAACTTAGGCGAAGGATCAGAGAATAGGCCAACTTATATCAGCGCCAAAATTGATCCAGAACTTAGGTTGGAAGTAATCCAATTGCTG